GCGTCCCTGCAGCCGCGCGCAGACGGGGCCCTCTTGCCCCAGCTTCAGGAACACGGTGTAGAATCCCAGAGCCCTGAGCACAGAGAACAGAGGACACGAGAGCCTGTGGGTGGCTCCACTTCGTGCCTCGAGGCACGGTGGCGGATAGACGGGGGGCGAGATCGAAGTGGAACGGAGAGGCTTCCACAGGGAAATCGGTCTCGGTTCCGGGTTCGTGTCGTGCGTGCGGGCGAGGGGGGAGGTCTGTCGGCCACGCGCAGAGGGGGGAGTCTTCGTTGGATTTCTCGGCGGTGTTCGTTGCTTCTCGGCGGTTTTTGCCAGCCTCGGGGCGCCGTAGTCCAGCACCTGCGCCTCCGCCGACAGCGACCCAGAGGTGCCCGGATCGTCCCAAACGGCCGCCTGAGGCCCGAGTCATGGCCCGAAAACCGACGCCATGCGCAGATGGGGGTAGGGGGAGGGGGGAGGGCTTCTGAGAAGCACCCCTGCTTCTCAGAATGCGCGGCCCCCGATATGTAGATGTAAGGCTGGCGCCCTCTGCTTCTCAGAATGCGCGGCCCCCGATCTTTAGATGTAAGGCTGGCGCCCTCTAAGGAGCAGCCTCCTTCGAAGTGAGCGTTTTTTCCTTCCCGGCGTAAGGCTCGTTACCCAGGCCAAGTCCCCCGCTGAGTAATGCTAAGAAAGAGCGCGTTCTACCGCTGCTGGCGGAAAACCGGGGGGGGTCACTACCGGTTCGAACCCCTCCCTGAGCATCCGGCACCCACAGAAAAGAAAGGATAAGTTATGTTTAAGTTCTGCACCTTAACTTAAAATGAACTTACCTTAGAACGTACTTAAGTTACTTAGTTCGTACCTCAACTTAGACTTAGAACAAACTTAGAATTGCACTTAAAACGCACTTAGTTTGCACTTAGTTTGCACTTAGTTTTTGGCCTGGTGTTGGGATGTTGTTTCGCAGTTAACGTATGCGGGCACAGCCGCGTAGTTTGAGCTACGTCATGCCACGTCTGCTAATCAGCGTTATCTTTCCGATGTTTTTCGGCCCCTCGGTTTCTGGATTTCTGGTTGAAGGGCTTCGTTGGCCCATGGGCCCCTGGGATCCTGATGGGTCCCAGGGGCGCGCGCCTGGACTCCTTGGGTCTTGGATTCCTGGGTTCCTGTGCCCTGGTGGGAGAGCGAGGAGGAGGAGGAGGAGGAGGAGGAGGAGGAGGAGCCATTGCCGTTTTGGCTCAAGCCATTCAGAGGGCTTCTCCATCTGACGAGAAAGGATCCACTTTTTGTGGACGCGGCTTCTGATGAAGCGCCCAGCTGCGGCCAAGGCGATGCCCGCGGCGAAGCTCCGCAGGCCAGCGGCTTGGCACGAGCAGGACAAACACGAGGAGGAGGACGACGCCGACGAGGAGCCTCTGGTGAGCATCGCCGCCACGCGCGGCAAGGGCAAGAACACCCTCGAGGACGACGAGGACGCAGAGGACGGAGCAGCTGATTCCCGCACGACGACTCGTGCCCAGAGGCACACCTTCGCGAAGAATCGCCACCTCTTCGATCAGGCCTTGGTGGCCCAGTTCGACAAGCTGATGGACACGGCCAACAAGACCGTCGGCAAGCAGGCGCAGATCAACCAGATCATCAACAGCTGCGTCACGAGGAAGGCTGCTGGCGGTGTGGGTGTCTTGATCAAGACACGCTCGGTGAAACGCTTCCAGCGCAGCATGATGCGCGACGAGAACAAAGAGACGGCGCACGGCCTTGGATGGTGGAGTCTCGTCGGGACGAAGTTCGGCGGCTCCGAGTCCTTGGCGCAGAAAGCGCTCGACGCAGGGGAGGTCTACCAGGCAGAGGACACGGGGCTCTACTACCAGAAGTCCCACACCATCGAGCGGACGCGAGTCCAGGAGAAGGGCTACAAGGGCGAGGAGGACACGGGCGGCCTGCTCTCGAGCGACGAGTTCGTGCAGGCGTTGTGCGACCAGGAGGAGCAGCTCACCGCGGAGCCGCTCGGCGACTGGTTCAAGCAGTGCCAGAAGGGGGTCCCCAAGAAGATCGCGGGGGCGCAGGCGGACGACGGCGACTTCACGGTCATGCAGGACTCCTACTCCTACTCGTACTCCTAGTGTTATTCCAACCCTACTGATACTCCTACTCTTACTCATGCTCCTACCCCCCCTCCTCCCACTCATAATCCTGAGAGGGAGCGGGGGGAGTGGGGGTAGGAGTATGAGTAGGAGTGGGAAGGTGCATGGGGTATGAGTAGGAGTGGGAGTGGGTGCTACCCGCAGGAGAGCTACGACGCGGTCTCGAGGGTGATTCTGGCCCTGCGCCGCTTGGGCACCAAGATGATGGCCGCCGAGGGCAACTCCGAGACCACGAAGCTGATGTCTGGGAGGGCCATCAGCTTGTGCAAGGCCGTGGCGGGGCCTAGCGAGGCCATCGAGTCCCTCCTGGTGGCCCAGGGCGAGGCCAAGCGCCACATCTCGAAGGCGGACGTGGCGGAGGCTCTCAAAGCCATGAGCGTCCCGTACAAGCAGATGGCCGAGCTCTTCAATGAGATCGTGATCCAGGTGAAGTCCGCGGCCAAGGGCAGCAAGACTGCCGACGCGGCCAAGGGCTTGAAGCCGATCAAGCTTTAGGTCAGCGCTGAGGGCGCTTCGAAGAGAATGAGAAGGATCGAAGGATGAGGTTTTCGTTTCAAAAAATGTTTGGGTGTGTTTGGCGCAACCAGTGGGGCCGAGTCGATTTCGGCCCCCAGGGACTGATTAAGGATTGAACCGAGCGAAACTACGTTTCGATTGAGCCGAGTGCTCGACGCGGCGCACGGCGCCCCGTGCGCAGGACGGCGCACGGCGCCCCGCGCGCAGGAGGCCGAGGCAGAACGGTTCGCCTCGTGCTACTCCTTTTTTCTTTCCTCTTAACCCCTGCTACTTATCCCCTCCTGACCCTGATTCTCGCACTCGTTCTGATCGCCCTCTCCCCGTCCTGCCGCTCGCCCCATCTCGGGGCCCCGCTGGCTGCCTGCCGTTCCCGCTCGGCGCGATTGCCGCGCCGCCTGGCCTCGCCCTCGTCTCGGGCAACAGAGCCCCGACCGAGCCCGCGAGAAGCGAGCGAGCCCAGCGATGGGCCCAGCAGAAAACATATGTAAAATCTTGTGCGCTGAAACAACTGGCCCCTGAAGGGAGCCCTGGGGCCCTGAAATCACGTGGCCCATGGGGCCCCGACAAGGGAACCTGGGGGCCACAAAGGAATCCTGGTGACCATGTCGCAGATATGTTGTAGATATGTTGTAGATTCGTTGTAGATTTTGAAATCTACAACGAATCTACAACGCGATGGTGTGGATGCTTCGTAAATTTCAAAATCTACACCGGATCTACATCGCTCATCCTTAAACAGCTGTCTGTAAGGTTAGTCTCACGTGCGTTCAGAGTGTCACAGTTGTTCAGGGTCTGTCTGAAAGTCTGAATCGAAAGAGCGGGGCGGGGTGAAAAGGCCAACATTCGCACCCCTCCTAATCATCGTAGCCGTCTTGGCTCAGCTGGCTTCCTTTGACGAGCCCTGAACTTTACAATGGGATCGAAACGCCCTCGCCAGGTTGCGAACCCAGATGTTGCAGAATCCGACTACGTGTCTTGCTTGACAGATTTCGCTGGCGGCAGATCCCTCGAGTCCGTGCTGCAGCCTTTGAACACAGATATCAATAGGTTGACACCTGTTCATGTGGTCAGATCGTATAAGCTGTTGGAGTCGTTGATGAAAAAAGGAGTGTGGAATGGAGTTATATGGACGTCTCGGTTCATGATAGCTACAAAGGCGGTGTGCAGTGACGGAAGTGAGCTCACTGCGACGAACATCACCGATCACGTCAGGAATTGCTTCAGCATGGTTAGGCAGATCAAGTTGGACGAAACTTCGAGCGACGGTAAAACCCGTTCCAGGAAGTCGTCGCCATTTGTGCGGCAGTGCGGGGCCGCCGACAGAATCGTGATCGACGCCCTCGTCGGAATGATGAAGCTCACGCAGCTGAGCGATGTGCCCATCCAGACGCCCGATCCCAAGAAGCCTGTGGATTCGCCGCTATCAGGTTCGGCGCCGCCAATGTCCCCGACCCCGCGCGGCGCGGCTCTATCAGACAGCGGTTCGATGCGTGACTTGTTCAAGACAGGCTTGCGACAGGTCGAGGATATGGAGCGTGACTTGGCCGAGTGTTCAAGCTTGGCGTCGCTGGCGACAGTGCCGTCTACCATAGCTTACCCAGAGCACGCGGCGAAGTTCGATGAAGATGGGTTTCCACAGATGTCACCGAGATCTGACATATCTGTGGTATCTCTGCCATCGTGTCGCTCTGTTGCACCGTCTCGTTCGATGAGCATGCAAGACTTCATCGACGGCCACGAGATTCTCGACGCCCCCGATGTTGGCCCAGATAAAACATCGAAGCCCGACAAATTCGATGAGCCACCAGACCCTTGCACGCAGCGCCGCAGGAAGGAGATTCTTCGTGTGCGCAAGGAGGCCAAGGCGACGCAGTCTATTACAGACCGCGCCAAGAAGCTTACGGTGCCAGATCCCAAGAAAAAAACAACCATCAAGACAACGGGCGACCCCCCCGAGGATCGCAAGCTCATCAATCCGAAGTTGGCGAAGACAAAGGACGGGCCTTGTAAACGCGAGAGAGTTCTGGCAGAGGGAAGAGGGTGAACGGAATCCCCGCCCTCCGATCCCCCCCCCCCCCCCCCCCTTAAAAAAACAAAACGAAACGCAGCCCCCACCGCCGCGACGGCGATGGGGGAGGGGGGGGGGGGGGAAGGGGGTGGTGATGCGGAAGCCGAGGCCTTCTTCGCCCTGCTCCCTCAGCCCGACACTCTCACCCCCCGCCCCAAAACAAACTTCGCTCGAAGAGGTAAAATGAGGAGGAGGATGAGGACGAGAGGGACTAGATTGAGCAATTCCATAAGGACGGTCGCTTTGAGATCACCGCGAAGGGTCTCCAGACGGGGAAGAGGATC